AGCTGTGCCCTGATTCCATGCAGCAGGCTCCTCCCAGCACAATTCTCACTAAACGTGCCCACCCTGAACCTATCCTGTTCAACTCAGCTTCACATGGCTGCCAGTATTAGTAAGGCCAGATATTGAAATATAATTTTAAAATAGAAATATTACTTAAGCATGATAGGAAGTATCATATGAAAAAGATGACATATAAAATTAACCAAAAAACACTAACATTCAGTGTTGTCTTTCACATAATAAACTGGCCTAAGAAATGAAGACCATTTTAGCTAAAACCCCATGGCGACAGCCAGAGCTCTATCTAGCTGTGCTCAATTCTTCCCTTCTTGCTCACTGAGCATCACGTGAAGCATAAAGACTGAGAGGTGACTAGGACATGGCCTTTGCCTCCAAACTGCTCACAGTCCAGAGGCGGGGCAGACACCAAATGGCTAATGGTACAAGGACAGAGCCACAAAGCCTGTTCCCCGTGGGAACACAGGGCTGAGTTACAGCAGTGCCTGAAACATTGGGAAAGATGTCCCTGTAAAGGTGACTTTTGATTTCATTTTTTAAGGATACATCTGAGTTTAACAGGAAAAAAAGAGAGAGAGAGAGAGAAATAAAGCAGTCCAAGCAATGCACCTGCATGTATGAGGGCCTGTGTCATAAACGGGTTTTTGTCTTATCAGAAGACGAGCAGGCCTGGGGCGATAGTTCAAGTAGCACAACTGCCTGCCTGGCAAGCGCAAGGTCCCGAGTTTGATCCCTGGTACCAAAAAAAGGAGGCAGGGAGACAGCTCAGTAGAGTACGTGCTTCCCTGGCAAGCACAAGGGTCTGAGCTCAATCCCCAGTTCCACTAAATCAATCAATCAATCAATCAATCAACCCCCCCCCCAAAAAAAAAGGTGAGGCGGAGGACACTGATGGTTAAGAGAAGCCAAGGTAGGTGCTGGAAGAATAAGTTCCTAGCTAAGAAAGGCAATATTTTGTGCTTCGGAGTTTTTTGTTGTTGTTGTTGTTTTTGAGCAGTGATCTCACTGTGTAGCCCAAGCTAGTCTCCAACTTGGGATCCTTCTGCTTTAGCCTCTTCAGTGGAAGGATTACAGGCATGAATGCCATGCCTTAATGGTATTTGGATTTTTGTCTTTTTGGTTTTTTGAGACTGAATGTTGCTATGTAGTTTAGGCTGGCTTTGAATTTATGGGATTACTCCTGCCACATCTTCCCAAGTGCCGGGATTAGAGACATATGCCACCAGGCCCAGCTAGATTTTTAACTTGTAAGGAATGATATGCTAAGATTGGTTCTTTTAAGGGATGAGGATACAGCTCAGCACAAGTGTCTGCCTGGCAAGTACAAGGTCCTGAGTTCGATTCCTGATACAAAAAAATAGGTTGTTTTTTAAGGCCTGGGGATACATACAGATCAGTAGCAAAGCACCTGACTGGCAAGAGCGAGGTCTTGAGTTCAATTCCCA